CGTCCTCGGCTGAGCCCGGAGCCCGAGCGTGACCTCGCAGCTGAGCAGTGTGCCCAGCCCGGGGCGAGGTTGGCAGCAGGCTGAACGCTGACTGTGCCCAGGAGATGGACAGAGTCACCAGGCACTTGGTCTTCCAGTTCCCGCAGACCTCGCCAAAGCTCGACGCTGACGATGCTCACCCGGGCGGCTCGTTTGCGGAGCAGAGGGCCAGCAGCGACGACGACGTGTTCGGCTCCGCTCGACACAGCAGCCAGAGGGTGGAAAACGGCTATGGCTGGGAAACGAGGTCAAATTTCCCAGATGGTGGAAAAGATGTCTGGACCCCGTCGCCAGACAGGGAGTCCAAGCTGGAGGTGGTGAGGTCGGGGAGCTTGTACGACCTCAGGGTTTACAGAGGCGAGAGGAAGCCCTCGAAGCTTTATGATGACGATGAGCAGGAACAGAACAGGGTCCGTCCACCGAGCATCTCGCCTGAGAAAGCCAGGGAGCTTGCAGACGAGAGGAGGGAGATCATCCAGAGCCAGGTGATGAGGAAGAGCTCTACCATGGCTGAGAGGTGGAGCTCCCTGGATGAGCTGAGCTCCATCAATGCTGGTGTGGACAACCAGGGCGAAGGTGGGCACGCGGGCAGCTTCACCACCAGCTTCGCTATTTCCTTTGACAAGCCTTCCTCGGGGAGGGCAGCAACGCCGGTCAACCCTGAAAATGTCAACACGGAGCAGATCAACTTCTCCGCAGCTCGGCAGCAGTTCCTGATGCTGGAGAAGACCAACCCGGGCTCCTTCTTCAGCCCAGGGCAACAGGCCATGTCTCCAAAGCCGGAGTCAATGACAAGAGTCTCTAGGCAAGAGTGGCCCAGTCCTGAGGTGGCCACGAACGCTGCGAGAGGTTACAGCAATGCCGGTGAACCCAGTCAGAGCAGGACGGACAAGACCGTTTATCAGGTTTATAGTGTGTCCCACAAGACACCTGTGACGGAGGAGGATCATGCCTCCAGAAGGGCTGATACTGAAAGATCATATCCCACCAGGAAAATATCCAGCTTGGCTAAAGCATCTTCCAGAGAGGACCTGGACTCTGGCTTGGGTGAGCTGTATAACGCAGGCAACACAGGCTACGCCAACAACGGAAGCACGTCCAACTTTGTCTTCGACGGCCTTGTGGAACTGAGGACCAGCAGCAACGGCCAGGACAAGGAGACGAAGTTCAGTAACGAGACGCCCATTGAGCGGGAGATCCGCATGGCCATGGAGAGGGAGGAGAACCTCTGGAAGGAGAGAGGGATCCAGCGGCTGACCTCCAGCAGCGAGCTGGTGGAGATCCAGACCAAGCCTCTCCTCTCCATGCACACCTCTCCCGGTCCAGGCAGGAAAGGGAATGACAAAGGCCGTGCTTCCCTTTACGTCCAGAAGGAAATCGAGCAGGAAACCAAGCGCGAGGAAGATCTGAAGAGGCAAGGGAGGCTGCTGGGGACGTACGACCGGGGGCCGCAGCAGGAGCTGGAGGAGCGCTGGTGGAGATCCAGACCAAGCCTCTCCTCTCCATGCACACCTCTCCCGGTCCAGGCAGGAAAGGGAATGACAAAGGCCGTGCTTCCCTTTACGTCCAGAAGGAAATCGAGCAGGAAACCAAGCGCGAGGAAGATCTGAAGAGGCAAGGGAGGCTGCTGGGGACGTACGACCGGGGGCCGCAGCAGGAGCTGGAGGAGCGCAGGCGGGTGTTCGAACCGCCAGCGAGAAGAGCTGGGACCAGCCCCTGGTGTCCCAGCATGTTTCCGCCAGCACCAGCAAATGGGGGAGCGAGGATTCCCAGGGAGGAAGGCTTCCCGGCTCCACCCCGAGC